TAAGAAATGCTGCCATGGGTTTGTGAAGCTTGAAACCTGAAAGACATCTTGATTTAAAAGCCTTGATTTGCATAAGCGCTCCTCAGAAGACTGAATATCAAAAGAGAATCTGCTATATCATTTCTGATCATAGTAAAGTGCTAAAGTATTAGAGTGATGTGTGGGTTTTGTGGGTCAGTACGGAGAATTCTTCAGTGTGTACAACACAAGGGAAGAAGAAGCAGACATGAATGTGTGTATATGTCTTTGGAAACAAAAAGCTTTTATGTTTTTGTTTAATTGCTTTGGAAGTATACGTGCAGACAGATTTAATGGTGGTAGCTTGAAAAGGAGGATCAATCTAATTTCCAAAAAAAAAAAAAAAATTTATTTCAGGGACAATCGGGTCCTATAATAATTTTTGTATTCATGAATATTGAACTCAGCAGACAGAATGAAAAGATTTTGCCCTCCTAGTGAGCACTAAAAAAAATAAGAACATTTGAAAAAAAAATTTGTGGGGAAAAAGAGAACTTCCCTGCTGGTTACCTTCTAACCTTCTGCTTTTAGCTTCCACTCAAGCAGCAAAAGCCTACTGTCTCACTTTCTTTTTCTCTGTCTCTCTGTCTCTCTCTCTCTCTCTCTCTCTCAACCAATCAGAGTAATTGATTTTACGGCTGCTCTTATCAGACACAGCAGACCTCATCGATGACAATGCGCAGGATATCGTCCTCTGTCCTCTGTCTCACCCTAACTAGTGAGTGAACGAAAAAGCAAGAAAGGAAAAGCAGGAAAGATCTTACCTATCCGGAGGGCTGAGTGAGATCAGATCAGGATGATTCTGTGATTAAAACGAGATCTCTGATCAGCTCTGTGTATGTATCTGGAGTTAAAGCATTAGTCATGCTTGGTTAGCAGCTACACTCCTACACTGCTAAGCAGTTCATTAAGACTCTACGCACCTTTCTTCCCCTGTGATATAATCTAATGGAAACATCTGTCTCATTTTCCTTATAGAACCTCACACCCTGGGCCACAACATCAGTCTTCTGCTAGTAGAGTGGATGAGTGGGTTTCATGTGGAGCGCTAGCACTCATGGGTAATTGGCTGCTCATTTCAGTTCAAAGCTAAGCACTGGTTAAAAGCCTACCAGAAAAGGGTAGCATATCATTAAATATACCATTAAACATCTGTGCTAATGAGATGTAGTGTAGGACAGCACACCTTTGAACAACTAGAGTTCTTTAAATAAAAGATTTCAAACTACAGGGCTGTGTATCAGTTGGGACCGGGCTACAACACCTGCCAACTGCCGCAAGGACAAGCGCGTATACTAACCTAATTAATACTCCCATACTATTTTCTTCTTCTCCTTCTTCTTCTTCCTACAAAAAATATGAATACACTGCCACCGGGGGTGCCCCAAAGATGCAGAGAGAGATTACAACAGAATGTTGGAGATGACATTCTGCTCTTAAAGACAAGCCTGTGGGTTACTTTGAGAGGAGAATAGCTGAACAAGACAGCGGCAAGTGTTTAATCTGCAATCTCATTTAATGTTCTGTGCATTAAAGGCCTTGTATCTTGTAGCAAATTGGGGAGAAATTACTCTTTCTAGCAGCTAAAATTATGCTCTATGCATAGAATGTGCATAGAGGTGTGTGTGGTAATGAACATGTATAGATGTGTGCAGTAATGAATAAACAAAGAGCTGTGTGTGGTAATGAACGTGTGTAGAGCTGTGTGAGTTTATGAACATGTGTAGAGCTGTAAGAGGTAATGCGCGTGTACAGAGCTGTAAGAGGTAATAAGCGTGTACAGAGCTGTGTGTGGTAATGAGCGTGTGTAGAGCTGTGTGCGGTAATGAGCATGTATAGAGCTGTGTGCGGTAATGAGCGTGTGTAGAGCTGTGTGTGTGGTAATGAGCATGTATAGAACAGTGTGTGGTAATGAGCGTGTATAGAACAGTGTGTGTGGTAATGAGCATGTATAGAACAGTGTGTGGTAATGAGCGTGTATAACACTGTGTGTGAAAATTAGCATGTTTAGAAATGTGCGTAATGAACATGTATAGAGCTGTGTGCGTAATGAACATGTATAGAGCTGTGTGTGGTAATGAGCGTGTATAGAACAGTGTGTGTGGTAATGAGCGTGTATAGAACAGTGTGTGGTAATGAACGTGTATAGCACTGTCTGTGAAAATTAGCATGTTTAGAAATGTGCGTAATGAACATGTATAGAGCTGTGTGTGGTAATGAGCATGTATAGAATAGTGTGTGTGGTAATGAGCGTGTATAGAGCTGTGTGCGGTAATGAGCGTGTATAGAACAGTGTGTGGTAATGAACGTGTATAGCACTGTCTGTGAAAATTAGCATGTTTAGAAATGTGC